GAGAGAAAAAAAACATTAAAACATTAAAACTAAAAAGCCCATATGATAATAATCCAAACGAAAAAACTAAAATACATAACAGCTGCGTGGTTTGAACCCACACACTTGCAGACTTAATTAGATGCCTTATACCACTTTGCTAAAGTGTATTCATTGTTCATAGTCATTTTAAAAAAACTATAAGCTTTAAAGATTTAAACACGTGGGGCCTACTCGGCTGCTGACGTGGATAGCCTTAGGAGCTTCAAAAGTGAATTATTATTATATAGTTTATTCTGAGAATCATTACGTTTAAATGATCAAATACTAACTAGGAATCAATATGTATCAATGCTGCTAGCGGTTGGTCATCATATCGAAATTTCGGGAGCTTATAGAGATAAGCATCAATATGGCCAGGTTATATATTATTTCCCTATGTTACTACATCATATGTTCATTTCTTCTCAGTTAAATGCAGTGTTTTCACGTCCGATTCGGACCCATGGTCCAATCGCTAAACCTAGTGACCCGATGAGTAATCCGGTTTAGGTTTTAAGTAATATCCACTAATTAAAAACCCGATAAAACCCGCTAAAAACTCTTAAACCCAATGATTCGGCTATCGGTTAAACCATCGGGTGAACCAATGAGTTATTTTTATTTAGTTTTTGTTAGGGTTTTAACTATTTTATTAAATATTTTTTGTGTATCCAAAATAATAAGTTAGATTTTTGCTTTTTGCTTTTTAGTTTTCTCATAAAATTATTGTTTTCCGTGTTATCACATATATTCTATATATCTCCTTCAATTTTCTTTTAAATTTTTTGTTGATTTCGTATGTGGTAAGTAACCATTGACTTTAATTTCTAGGTTTAAACATTTATCATATAAACTTCATTTTTATTCTAATCACATGCTTTTATTTTATTTTCTTGATTTTACATGTTTATATATAAATAGTGTTTTGTTGATCAAATTTTTATTGATCTTATTTAATTTTGAAAAATCATATATAATATTGACTAAACCATTTATTGATTTTTATGAACATTGCATTATGCTTCTTAAAGATAATATATTGAACAATTATAAATATCTAATATTTATGAGATTGAAGTCTTGTTATGATTTACTATATGTCTCAACTCCTAATTTCTTATAAAAACTTATTAAATAATCTAATCTAATTTTAAGTATTTTATATGTGAAATAAATAAAAAATAAAGAGAACAAAATTTAATATTTTCTATGTTTTTTAGAAATATAAAAATTTTCCTATATTTTCAATAATTAATATATAATTATCTATTAAAATTAATTAATATATTAACTCGTGGTTCACCCGTGGTTGATTTGGTAATTCGGTAATCTGGTAAAGTGTCCGGTTCAATCTCTGGGTTGGATTTAAAAACATTGGTTAAATGACGAGCTTTTCCAAATATCAAAAGGTTCAATTACGTGGGCTTCCCTTTAGATGGACTTTATTTTTGGAGGCTATTCCTCAATGAAATCAGTATCGATATGGGATTGGGAACTTATATTACGAGTCAAGACGAGTCTCCTTCTCTATGAATATGATGTAAAGAGTACCATTTGAAAATATATTTTATAGAACGGTTCAAAGTAATACACTCAGACGTGATTCCTCGTAAAACAAATAGAATTGTAAATTATAATATCGTCTTTCTAATATCTTTCGTAATTTGTAATAGCATAACTAACTAAACAAAAAAAATTAATATCTGCTACAGAAAATTGGTTTTTAAATTAGGAATGTTACATCATTAGTCTTTTATTTAAATCTAGAACTGATCGAAAACGTCTAAGGTTTGATGATCTTTATGTTCATAGAGTATTCACAATAAGGAAATGAAGATAGATAATAAAATGGAAAATATTCTTTATACACTTTGTCTTATCTGAACAGACTCATGCTACGGATGAAACCTACAATATAATAACTTCCAATATCTATATGTAATACAATCTTCATTCTTGAAATTTACTTAATCTTTATTCTTGAAATTTACTTGTACAGAACCCTACTTCCAATTCTGCCATTAATTTTCAAATCAGAGGCATAAACAAACAGCTTAGCTTTTCATCCTGAAAAATTGGAATCAGAAGCTATTTTTTGCCTGTTCTTGTTACAAGAGAGATCCCATTAGGGTCACCACCTCACTCTTCAAGTACAACTATAAGGTTTGCAGACGGTTTCAGCCACGAGCGAGGCACATGGTACCTGAAAACAAGAGAAGAAGATTAGATTTGGCATAAAGAAGAAGAATAAACAATAGTAGTTTTTCCTCACTCACCATCTTTGAGAAGCTTCTCCACAGTTACTCAAACATTTCTTCTCAGTGAAAGTTCCAGCATAGCTGCATCGTTCGCATTTCCCACGAGCTGTATATGCAGGCCAGTGTCGTCCAATGTTCTTCCCATTTATCCAAACTTGGCCTTTCCCCATTGTGCTCATGTCCAAAGCCAATGGTTCATTGCCTGATGGTGTGTCAAAAGTAGACTGCAAAAAAAAAAGAGATTGTAAGAAGCCCTTCTTTTGACCTAACTTGAAGGGCACGCAAAGTTCATCAACCCTTGTGTTTCTCTTACCTTATACCAAGTCAAAGGTTGTTTCTTGGCCAATAATGATCCTTCTTTCCATTCCACGGTGGAACTCCCGGTATGAAGACTAAGAGCCTCACCCTTGGTACCAATCTGATTGAATAATATAAAGAAAATTAAATACATGTTTATTTCATTGTATGTTGTTTAGTTCATTTCTCTTGAATTTTAGAACTACCTTGTAGGACCATTTCCACTTAGACAAGTCCCATGTTCCGGAGTTAACTCCCTTCAGTGTAACTGGACCAAGAACCCCAATATTCCAAGTCTCATAACGCAAGCCAACGTTCTATTAGCAACAAAGGACGAGAAATTATGTAACCGTTTTGTGGGAGAGAAACTAAGTAATATATCTAGAGTTCTAACCGGGAGACCAGCTGCTATACTCAACAGGGCAAGTTTGTTGACTCCTGCATGTAGTTTGATCTTCTGACTAAATTTTAGCTTTGGGTTCTCCAGTGATCCATAAGCAGTTCCTGAAACAAGGCAAAGTTATTTTAAAACAGAAGACAAGCTACCATATGTATCTGTTTGACCTATCTTAACTTTACCTGCAAGCTGTCCATTAACAAATACACTAAGAGCATGACCAGCTGAGTCAATAGTAAGAAGAGGGTCTTCACCAGTCTTCAAGAACTTCTCATCAGCACTGATCATAACACTGATTATATATATTCACAAATGAGTTCCTACACTAAACTCAGTAAGATAGTCAAGAGTTTCCAAGATTACTCACTCTGCAAGATACCATAGATAGTCTGTCTTGTCTCTGGTCATGCTTATCTGTTCCACAAGCCCATCTTGGGAAAACGTACCATTATCATTTGGAGAAGGAATCTCTTCGTTGTATGATCCCCATGATAGTTTTGTGTTTGTGGGAACCATCTTCATGGGTATGCTTGGTTTAAGGACCTGTACCTTATAACACAGAGGTCACTCTCAGTGATCTCAACAAGGTAACGTGTTTAACAAGTTTTGTATGTTGGTTTACCTTTGCAGTGTTGTAATACTCGGTTTTGCAGTCAGGTAGTATACTGACAGACCAAGGAGGCAGATCATATGTTGATCCTCCGAAGGAGACTCTTGCAGCAGAACTATCGTTGTAGTTTGAGAGAAATGCAGCGCAAGATGACTTGGACTTGAAAACATGAGCCTGAAAGAAAAAAACAAAAAAGGTAATTAAATAACCTTTAAATCTTTCTCTTCTCTTCTTATGTGTATTGATTTGCTTTTGCATTGTATTCGTTACTTCTAGTTTGTCGCCTAGCCATGTGACTGTAGGATCAACAGAGACCAAAGCTGGCTCACATAGCTTGATGACCTTATGTAACTTTGTCAAGTGACTATACTTAGGTTCTCTCGGTAACCCTTTTGACCACATAACCCAAAAAAAGCGTTAGGAAATGTTGAGTATTGTTTGTTACCGTTGTGTGTTTTCAGGTTAGTGGAGTTAAAAACTTGAAATTACCATATTCATCAAGAGGAGCGTCGTAGTCATAGCTAGTAGCGATGAATTGACCAGCTGTTCTATCGAAGTTTGTTCCTCCGTGGTACTGTTTAATAACATTTGCTCACTCCCCTTATATACTCATTAATCATACCTTTTAATTATCATTCCAAAAATAAGAAGTTACCACATAGTAATTCATGAAGGAGCCACCGTTGTGTATGAAGCGAGCCACGGAGAAGGCGATGTCTTCAGCTGGTCTATATGGTACCGCACCTCCAAACTCAGTTAACCTGGTTAATTATTTGTAGATTCACACAACAGATTATTTTTTTAGTAAAACATGCCTAAATAATCATGGATCCTCGGTTTATATAAATATATATATTTTAAAGTTTTCTGGTTTAGATATTTGTGTGGACAGTCGTGTTGTGTGACTTACCAACTAGTCCAGTTTTCAGTCCACATCTTTGGCTTGTTGTCTGACTTTGGTTTAAAATCCTCACAGTAAAAGCCATTGCATGTGTTTATCTATTGAGCAAGTACACAAAAAAATGAATTAGTGGTGAATAGATTGTCAATATAGTTTATTGTTGTGTCTAAAAAAAGTAACCTAACAAGAAAACAAATAAGTAAAGATGATTCGATCTGTAGAACACAAACACAAAAACAGATTCAATCATTCAGACATATGAATAAACAAACAACATCCTTTGCTTAAAGAATATATATAATAACTATTCGGTATGCGTATTATTAAGAGGAAATATAAGAGAAGACAAGAAAATGTATATTCTTTTAAAAAACCTCTAGCTATTCTTAAAGAACATATAACTAGACAAAAAAAAATGCTAAATAAATTTCTTCCGCAGAAATAATACAGAACAATTAGGTATATATATGATATTAGCAATAAAGATTTAAAGTGGATGACAAAAAAAGATTTAAAGTGAACACAACAACATAATATAAACAATATTTGCTTTCTGTTTTATTTTCTAAAAAATATACAGAAACAGAAAAGTTCTTCCTTTGCTTAAAGAATATATAACCAGATAAACAAAAAAAAGCAGATACGTAATAATTAAAGGGAGAAAAAATAAAAGAGAAAAAGTAAAGAAGTAAACATACAATGGAGTCAGGAACATCTTCATCTTGCTTGCACATAATCCATGGGACACCTGTAGAGAGTCCTTCTGCCATTTGAGCTGCCCATTTTGTGTATGCCTTCCCTGGTGCTCCTATCTCCCACTCTACTGGTCCATACTCATTCTCTATCTGCCCATTTTTCCATATTTAATACAAATGCAATTAATTTCTAAACTTTGACAGTAAATAATCATTTTTTAAAATCTTTTGTCAAAAGGCCCTTAAAAAAGTCTTTTGTCAACACTAAAGAATATTTTTTTTCGTTTATCTAATAACAACAAGAAAAATATACAAACCTGTGACAGAATGATGGGTCCTCCTTGGGTCTCAAACAATTTTTCTTGTTTCATCATCCCCACAATCTTCTCAGTGAATTTTTGCATTGCAGCCTTTCCATTACAACATCATATGCTTTCAAGTTAGTAAATTACCCCCAAAACATGGAAACTTTCTAGAGAAAAATAAGAGTTTTAAACCTTGAAAGGTTCATTGTCGGTCCTAAAAGCCATACCGGGAACATATTTAAGCCAAACAGGAACCCCTCTGAAATCAATTAAATATATTTGAATAAATAATGTGTAGAAACAATTCCACAAATTTTTTTTTTTTTTTTTTTAATTCCACAAAATTTATTTACATAAAAACATAAGTTTACCCAAAGTTCCATTCAGCACAAACGTAAGGACCAATTCTGAGATGAACGTAGAGACCAGCTTGTTGTACCAGCTTGATGAACTTAACCAGATCATATCTTTCCTCAAAATTATACTAAACCAAAGAAAAAATAGAAAGCATTAGTCGCGGGTTATTATTTTGGATTATGAGTTAAAACAAAAACAAACAATATATGTTTAGTTTTGTAAAATCACTTGTCCAGGAGAAGGTTCATGCCCATTCCAGAAAACATAAGTCTGTATTACATCCAGGCCTCCTTCTTTGGCCTTCTGTATAAGACCAGGCCACATCTGCATGTAAAACAGAGCATTGACAAGATTTTTATTTAATCATCTTTTACAAAAAAATAATAATGAATTTGTAATATGCAATAGTGTAAACTATAAGCAAAACCTGGAAACGCCCATGTGCACAAAAAAACTTTGGGACAAGGATTCATTCACAAGACAGAAAAAATCATAGAAAAGAAGAAATAATATATAGCTGGATTCAGCACAACTATACTCCATACATTTATATCACTAATTAAGAGGTAGTTTTCTACGTAATTAAAAAATGTTGAAGAATACCTCAGGTGTGCTTCTTGGGTAGTGAATGGAGCCAGATAGAAGGATCCTTCTCTGACCATTGATGATCACAGCTTTATGATCGTAAGTTACTGTTGATTTGACTGAATAAATCAACGATGAACAACAAAGAATCCACAGAAAAATCCATGATTTATCCCTAAAGTTAAACCCCATCTCTTCCCTTATTTGCAAAACCAAACCTTTGGATGTCTTTGTTTTGCAAAAAAAACTGGGAAGAAAGATTCCAGGGATAGTTTTAGGTACTGGATGGGGAATTCGTGGGGTTGGAACTAATGAGGTTCGTTGAAGCTATTTATAAATTAAGGAAAACTAATGAGGTTCGCTGAAGCTATTTATATTTAAGGTTGCGCATATGTCATCTTATTTAATTATATAAATCTAGAAGCAATTAATAACAATTTAATATTTGATTTCACAATTTTCTTACACAAATAATATATATTTTTCAATTTTAAATGTAAAATTTATTTGATCAATATATATAGAAAGCTGAGCCTTAACAAAAATGATAAAGTAGCCCATGAAAATATTTATTGACTTTCGTTAACAAAAAATATATTTATTGACTTTTCTATTTTGTTTTTACTTGTTTCATGTTTTGATTATTGAATGCATATGTCTACTTTCCTTTTTGTACGTCAAAATGCATATTCAGAAATATGGGAAAGTAATACATCAGTCTTGTTGCTTTGGCCGGGTGACCTTGAAGTTAGTACCGTATTGGTAACAAGTTGAGTAGTTTACATTTTTCCTATTTCTTTACGATCTATTCGTCAAAAGATTTTTTCTCAAAACACTTTTCCGTAATTTTTAAATTTAATATCTTACTGACGAAAAATCTGTATTAATTCCATATTGATCTCAAATCTCAATTAAAGTGGTCACAAATCGGATGAACAATGTAGGGAAAGCCTACCCAAACCATATTGTAAAGAAACAAATTCCAAAAGAAAATAGGAGGTTGTTTTGGAACTCGGGTATTTTAACTAGATAATTGAAGTTATGCAAAGAGGTTTAGTTGACATTTGTAGTTGGTTGAGAAGGTCAAGTAGCCGCATCCCAAAGCGTAAGTTCGCTAACTACAAAGCTGCACCTTACACGGCGGACTAACCAACCAAAGACTGCCACATAGCTCTAGTTAACCAAATCCTACTGACTATGACATTCGTCTTCATTCACCAAATAACCATTGTGACAGATATAACGTTACCGTTAGTTTGCAAACTTTTAAATAAGTAGAATCATATATTCTCATTCCCATTTATTTAAATTTATTTGTCTTTTCCATAACTCCACACGATTATCTGATACGTACATCGGATTTTGTCAATCCACATTTCAAGTCAAATGGGCTACAGTTTCTTCTCAGGCCTGTTAGTAACTCCATGTTTTTAGCAATTAATAAAGCCTTGTAGGCTAAAGGTTGTCCATATCCAGTAGCAATTTGGTTCAACCACGTCAAAATGTCTTTTTTTTCATAGATATTTCCAGTTTAAATATCAGCCTGTGAGTTGTGATATTGCTATCTAATATGATATTTTCTTAAGAGTTCCTGAAAATCTACTTTAAAACATACAAAATTAAGATAAATAGTAACCTTTTGGTTAATTTTGATTAAAACATACGAAAGTTTTCTAGTAAACCGAAATATAGTATTCCCTCCGTTTCTGATTAATTGTCATTTTTCTAGCAGAAATTTTTGCTGTAAAATATATGTTGTTTTATGTTTCCAATACAATTTTTATTATTATTTTATCTCTTTTCCCCTAATTAAACTAAGATAAATATTAAATGTTATGTAATTTTAATGGTCAAACAAGAGTAATTCTGAACATTTAAGTAGTTTCTTAATTTGTTTGCAAAACTCTAGAATTTATATATATACTAGTGGTTTGACCGCGCTACGCGCGGAATGTTTGCTGTTTGTATTATTTAACAAAGAATATTTGTCATTAGATTCACTTGTTTAATCAAAATCTATGATTGTAGTTGCTTTCTATGTTGACATATTTCTTATTTTATTAGTTGAATGTGATCTTTGGATGGAGCGCTAGTTTTGATTGAAGCGAGTTCATATGGTGGCAATGTACATAACATAAAATGGTTTCTTGTTTGATAAAGTGGATGTACATAAATAGTTGAAATAGAGTGGTAATATTTTGTATTGGTTGATAACACGGAGATAGATAACATTATTTGAAGATAAGAAGTAATGAGATTGGCTTTCTATTATAAGTAGATAACTTTTAAAAAATAATAATAACATAGGTATCCTTGGACTTTTTGAGAAAGTTTTTTGAGGTTTGATAGTTGCTATTTTGCATTTGTTTCAATGTTATTTGGTGGAAGAGTGAGATAGTTGTACACTTGTAGTTAGTGTGGACTGATTTGTTTTATAAACCTCGGAATAAGTAATTTAACATTACATAAGAGGTGTGTGAATGTTATTAAAATGATCAATTGGCAATGATATTTTGTAGTTTGTGTTTGTAACTCTAGTTTCCTATAACGTTGTGTTAAATATTAATAATTTTATTTATTTATATTCTTTTTAAATTTTAAATATAATGTATTATTGAATTTTTTCCGAAAGTACATTATTACAAAAATTTAAAATTCACAATCAAGCAAAAGTCTGTACAACATTGAAATTGGTAGATTTAACTATTCGGACACAACCAATTTTGTTGTGTAGTTTTTGTCAAATTATTTTATATTGTGTCCTTTTCATTTAGACTATACAAATATATAGCATTTTATTTTTATATAAATACTAAATTTATGATTCAAATTTTTACGGAATCAATACAATACTTTCTTTAAGTATCACATTTGTTTAGAGTAAATATATATTTCCTTTGTGTTGTATATTTATTATTCTATTAAATATTTTTTTCGTAACTTTTTCCGTTTGAAATCTTTATTTTGGCTATGGGTTAATTTTGGTTGTGGCTTTCAATCATTTTTAAAAAACTTGATGAAACTAAAAAGACAATATCAGAAAATATATTTTCCTCCTTATTGTTTTTAGAAAAGTTTTCCATTTATTATTGGAATTTTTATATTATTGAACTATATTATGTATCTTCACTGAATTATTATTTGTTGACTAATTTTTAATTAACCTTTTTTGTTCTTAAAAAGCAAAATCAACTCAGTATATATAAATAAACCTTTTTAACTTAGATATTAAATTATAATTGTATTGCTCTCAGTTAAATATAATTATTTTTGTATATGTATAAAGTCGAATTGCTGGTTTTTCTATCCTGATGTCACATCTAATGTTGAAAATAATACGATAGTTTAATATCACATTTCTGATTAGAATATGTAACTTTAGAAAGGAAAATATGTGTAAATGTAATGGTTCTAATGTTTCCTCGACAACTCTCTTTGTTACTAAGAATCCACATAGAACTACTCAGCATGAGTATTGTTATTGCATTTGATTCTCTCTTCTCTGCTTGTTTGATTTATGTGCTTCGATTTTCTCTTTGATTTTCTTTCATGTTCTTTGATATTAAGTATCACGCGCAGAATATCGAATGGTCATTTTGTTTTTGGAATTGCTCGATATTTGTTGGCGGCACAGTCGAAGAGGGAAAACTTTGAAGGAAATCACTACTTTCTATCACAAAAAAAAGATGTAGAAGAAAGAGAAAAAAAAACAAAGATATGAAATGGAAAAAGATGGAGTCAGATGATTACCAAAGTCAATATGAGGGATGTGTCAGATTTTGGATAGAAATTACAACAATACATGTTATCTCCTGCAAGCGGGAGTGTATGGGATAGGCAACGATGTAACAGATGGATCGTGCCTCATGATCTATTAAGTGATAAAAGGCGTTGGATCACAATGGATGATAGCCGAACACAAGATCATATAAGACCGAGAACAACGATAGAAAAAGTTAGCGAATCAGTCTATCCTGCAAAAGAGTTAGGAAACATCGTGTTATTACTTTTCTATTATCATGTTCAGCTTAAAAATGTATTTACTGTATATTTCGATTCTGATACTCTGTTAAACCTCCTTTCATATTAATAAAATTAAGATGTTATAAAAAAACAAAATATTACGGTTAAGTTTGGCCACATATGCGTTTGCCAATTCATTTAGGTTTTGATATATGTTTCTCTTGTCTCACCAAAGCAACCAAAGATGTGAAGAAAATTTTGGTCACTGGTCGCAACTGCGGTGTTACTGAAACGAACATGGCCGATATCTATTTAGGGATTGTTAGTTCATGGTTATGTTGTTAAGTGATTTATAGATTTTTTTTTTCTGAAGAAATTTTATAGATTTATTAAGCCAATCCTTTTGTAACATTTAGATGTTAGATGCTAAGATATAATTTACTAATTTGGCATATGATCTAAATGGTGAATATGTAATAATGACATTCTTGCTTCAACGCTGAATTTTATATTTAAATGCATATTTTATTTATTTTTATGTTTGCTTAAAATGTTTGTGAAACTTTTAGTGGCACAAAAAAGATGTTAGTTTTAAAGTAAAATTTTGTATTTATTTGAAGATTTTTTTATTAATATGGCATTTTTTATTTGTAAATTCGTTAAGTGGAACACATAAGATATTTCAGAGGTTAGTGAATTATTAGAAGAAATAATGTTTGAATCTTTTAAATTTTTATAATTTTAAGGTGAAATCATAGGATTTAAAGGTGATTTTTATGTAAGCCTATCCCATTGGGTAAACAATTTCCCATTTAATTATACTTTGAAACTAACGGATAACATAATTCTATTCTAAAAATTATTAACGTGTTAACACTTATGTTTACACATGAAAGAGTTAACGATTTGTATAACGTATAAAAGAATATTTCAAAAAAAATTACAATAGTTAAAAAAAAATAGCAAAAAAGAAACATTTTTTTTGGTTCTAAAGTTCTAAAGGCTAAATATGGTAACATTTGGAATACTCATCAAGTTTAAAACAAAAAATGTAACATAAGACAAATATTGAACCAAACGAAAGCCAGTTAACATATCAAACCGAAAAGTAAAGGAAACTAACAAACAAATAACTCTTCTTTCAGTTTCAAAACAAAACTAATGTCATGTTTGTTCTACATATTTAGTATGTCAAACACTTCAAGTTGTCATACAGTAGTTGCGACTCG